CCAACACTTTTGTTTATGTGCATAGAAGGCTGTTTCTGTTGGGGATTTTTTGTTAGCAGTAAATCATCTTAATAGTTCCACCTGGACTAGGAAAAGACAATAATAATATGTAAAATGATAAAAGTTTGGCTCTTCTTCAACAATGACTGATTACAGCTCATTTAGCCCCATGGTAACAGAGTTTCTCTGGTTTTCACTCCAAGCTTACGGTTCTTGGAATGAAAGCCAGTCATTTATTAAAACCTGTTAGTCTTCCATTTAAAAGTCCTGGTCAGGTAGTGTGAAATACATATCAAACATGTAAATGTATGGGTGAGCAGACTCTTACTCTGTATGGTGAACATCTTGACAGAGTCAAGTCATTTATTTCTGTTTCTTGGGCTTATGATGGATGAACAAATTAGATATGCTCAACATTAAGATTGAGATTTGAGCCTTTAGAGCTACCCCAATTCCTACACTTTTGGTTGAATCAGAGGAAACCCTTTTAGATTTAAGATGTATAAAAGTTGGGGCTAAACAATATATTGTATGGTGAAGTTAAAGGGGGCTGGAGAAGCACTAATAATGATGTTGTTACCCCAGCGAACTGGCCAGTAAGTGTACATTGGTTGTGGCCTAATCTAGATATTCATTTTAGAAAATGAGTTCAGGAAAGATGTAAAGGATGTCTGGTGACGACTTTATGAAAACATATTTTTTCCATCATTTCAACATCAGAAAAGAGAGTTTTTGGCGAAAAGATGAGCTGAGGTTGGCTAGGCTTAGGCTGGGACATTTTGGGTTAAACAGTTTCTCCATGTGATGGGTGATGTGTGTTTTGTGGCATCTATGAAATAGTTGTTCATGTGATGTTGCTGGGACCTCTGTACTCAGTAGAAAGAAGGATTATCTTTAGTGCATTGACTGCTCTGGGATGCAATTGATTTTAATTTAACTTTATTGATCTCACATTGGAGAAATTTACCTCTGCATTTAAACCATCCCCTTGGGGAGCAGAGGGCTGCCATTGTGTAGCACCCGGGGAGCAGTGTGGGGTTAAAGGGTCTTCCTCAGAGAGCCAGAATGGAGGCTGTGGGGATCGAACTGGGTACTTGTAACCTTCTCAGCCAACACTCCCCATTTTCATTAAGAGCAATATTGTTATATGGAGCTTCCCCAAAAATGGAAGGTAATTTGGGTTGTCTTTTTAAAAAACAAAAAAAACAAAAAAACAACTGGAATATATTGGAAAATAGAGGAGTGTTGGCTCTATTCTAATAATAAAGTTTTGATAATTGTTTATATGTTATGACCTGAGGGGGGCAGCACTGCACTCAGTATGCCTAGACTGCCGGAAATCAAGAAACTAAGAAGTGGAGGTGTGGAGTCATACATCCGTCCAGCAGGTGGCGATGATAATTCTTTCTGGTCTGATAGGAAGCAGACTGCCTGGACCTGCTAGCAGAGCTAGCTTAGATGTGTTCTCCTGTCGTTAAGGCTGCTTATTTCTGTGTCCGTAGCAACCATGTCTTCAGCTCAGCCTTTAAGGGAGTTTATCAAAGATAGACTGACCGCTGCTGCAGAGGAAATATTCACAGAGTTTGATAAAATTATCGTCCAATATGAGGAAGAGCTGGATCGTCAGCGCAGACTGCTGGAAATCTGCTTGAAACCCCAAATAAACCTTCAGAGTATTGGTATGAACGATGCTTAAAAATCTTCAAAGAAAACCATAATGTCTAAAGTTCTTGAAACTTAATAAGAAGTAAAAAATTCATATGATTATTGCAATGTTTGTGGTAAATAAGAAAAATCGTACATATAATGTATCTCAAATGTAACCCTTTTGATTTCAGAAGACAAAATTGAGCTTTTTGTTTGTTTTTTGAAACATTAATTTAGAATTTATTATTTATTATGAACATATGACAGTCATTTTTACATTCTGTTTCAAGCTATCTATAAGAAATAGGTTTTGAAGGTTGGGTTACTAACAATAAAATCTTACTGGAGAGCTTGTCTGATGTTTATAAACATAAAGAAAGGGTCAGCTTTTCGATTTTATTTCTGTTAGCAGATCTGTCTATAGTTACTCTAAAATTTTAGGGTTCAATGTTTTTAAAAGCCTCTTGAGTTACATAATTTTTTTTCTCACAATCATGTAAATCAAAACATTCCTTTGCTTGCTTGTCCAGATCTTCCATGGCATTATGTCTGCAAGGAGGAGGAGGAAATCAACGACCTGCAGTTCTGCCACCAGAACAGCAATTCCATTATGAGTCCTCAGCAAACAAAAGAGATGAAGGTTGAAGCAGAACCTCAGGAGGAAGTGATGGATGTAGAACTCCCACAGATAAAGGACGAAGAAGAGGAATTTGTTATTGGTTTGGAGAAAGAGCAGCTTGAATTGAAGCAGGAAACTGATACAATATCAGTAAATTCTACTTATGGGGAAAAAGACCACAGAGACCAACACCTTCTTCAGATCCCTTATGAATCCGAGAACCAAGAAATAATAAATGACTCAGGATCAAATAAAGAACCCAAACCGAAAACAATTCATCAAAGCATCAGAGGTTACAATGAGAGTGTAAAACTTCCAAATGTAAAAAGATGTAAGATAACAAGCACAAATCAGAATCTCTGTTCTTGTAGATTTTGTGGTAAACTTTTTGGTCGGACGAATTTACCTAAACATGTCAGAACTCATACAGGGGAAAAGCCATTTTCCTGTGTGACCTGCGGAAAAAAATGTAGTCAAAGCGGTCATTTGAAGGTTCATATGAGAACCCACACCGGTGAGAAACCTTTCTCGTGTTTAACTTGTGGAAAAAGTTTTACCATGAGTATGGCATTAATCCGTCATACGAGAACCCACACAGGTGAAAAGCCTTTCTCGTGTGTGACTTGTGGAAAGAAATTTAGTCAAAGCTGTCACTTGACTGTTCACATGAGAACCCACACAGGTGAGAAGCCTTTCTCATGTTCGACTTGTGGAAAAAGTTTTACTGTGCAGATTTCTCTAACCCGGCACATGAGAACGCACACAGGAGAGAAACCTCTGCCATGTACCATCTGTGGAAGACGTTTCGGTGAAGCAGGAAATTTAGCTCGACACATGAATATCCACACAAAGAATTTAGCCCTCATTCCGTAAAAGTTTAAAAAATAATCCACTGGACCTGGTTTCCAAGGTTTGAAGACATTTCGTCTATTTCGACTCAAACTCACTGCGAATCCATACATTTGAATTGAGAAAGCTTCCTGGAGGGGAAGCGAAACGTCTTCAAACCTTGGAAACCAAGTCCAGTGGATTGTTTTTTTAAACTTTTACGGAATGATTGACCTGGATGGCTGAGAATCTTCATCAGCAAATCTAGCCCTCAGTCTTTAACCTTGGTTAATGGGTTGATGGGTTAAATTGGCAGTTTAAATATATTATTATAATATATATATATATATATATATATATATATATCATATTACTATTTTTTATATAATACATATATAAATGTATAGAAATAATATGATCTGAATATTTTAACATTTTTAATGATATATTTTATTATTTAAAGGAACATTACCAAATTGTGCGTTTTATAATTTAATAGAATGTTAAATTATTCAATGATGTTAAATAAATAATTTGTACATCTATGGTATGTTTGTGTAATGTTGCATTCAGATTTATTTATCAAACGGTATATTCATTTATTTGATTTTCTCTATTTTCACCCTCCATATTTAATAGAATGTGCTGATATGAGCAGTTAGGGTCTGATATCTAGTTAACTCAAGTAAAATTACACTTTCTTTTCCAAATATCAATTTCAATGTATTGTTTACTGTTCCAACAATTAATATAGGGGCAATAAATCCTATTTTCATTAAGTTTGCGGATCTCATAAGCAATTACAAAATGTATGAAGAAAAGATCTAAAAGGGTTAATTATAGTTAAAGATACTTAATTGATCCTGAAGGAACATTAAACAAATGTATTTCTGCTCAATGACTGTAAGAATCTAAATGAAAAATAGAAATGAAGATTAATAATCAGCCGTTGGAATCAAACCTCTTGTTTTGAACCTGGAATGTGCCATTTGTATTTTTCTCCAGCAGGTGGCAACAGTGAGTTGAGACGCTACTTAGAAACCCCTGCGTCAATCATGAAGAAGAATCTTAGCATCCACTGGCAGATTGGATATCTATGGATTGGATGAGTGAGAATTTTCACCTGCACTCTCATTAGCAGAGTTATCTTTGCTTTGTTGTTTTATGTGTCTTTCGAGCAACAATGCCAACCTCTCGGTCGCTGAGAGAGATTATTCGGGCGCGTCTGACCGATGCTGCTGAAGAAATATTCACAGAGTTTGATAAAATCATCGTCAAGTATGAAGAAGAGCTGGATCGTCAGCGAAGACTTCTGGAAATCAGCTGGAAACCTGAAATAAACCTACAGAGGATAGGTATGAACCATCAGGGACACTACTGGGGTTTTACTCTTCTCACACCTGCAGAAAAGTCCCTTCGATCGCACTTTACGGTCAAAATTATTATCGTAAAACCATATTTTATAATGTAACTGAGGAAACGGGGGTTAAATTGACATGAAATTAAGATTAATGACAATATTAGGGTGAAATCTTTTGATTTCTTCTCTTCTCCATTTCACTGAGTCAAATCCGCTGCCTGTATCCTCACGATGCCTACAATTTACATTCATGAAAGAAAATCCCCATCTTCTATAGAGCCATCTTGTTCATTTTTTTGTTCATGCTGTAAGTTTTGATTCTAAACCTATTATTCATATTTACTGTTAAACTTCAAACCTAAAGCCAACATCAGTTTCTCACATGTTTAATTGCTGTTGATTCATCTGACAAAAACACATTGCATACTTTAGATTTAGTAGCTGAATAAATGAAAACCTCTACCCAACTTTCTTTTTTCTCATCTCCTATTCATATTTGGAAGAAACCATTTGCAAAGATAACTCAAAAAGTCAATACCTGATTTCAAAATTAAAGTCTCATCAAATCAATGAATCAAGTTTCATTTATATTAAATTTGCTGCTTTCAAGTTAAAGTGCTTTTCAAATAAACAACATCTCTTTATTTTTTTTTTTACTTTAAATGTGTAATTATTTAAAAGCAAAATGATCACAGACTGATTCCTTAGTAATTATGGACTAACTTAATAAGAACTTCTTCATTTTAGCTGTTATTATTTTATTCAGATATTCATAAAAAGTATAAACCCTTTGAAAGAATGCCCACAACAGATGCATGATAAACCTGTGGAAATTATTTAGAAAGTCTATGAAACTCCTCCAATACAAAAGTTTAGAAATAATAAAAAAATCATGGATAGATCATTTGGAGCTACAATTTTCAAGAGAAGAAATAGACATATAACTAGGTAATTATCTTTCCTCCTTTATCTTTCTCAGTCTGTGATTTTATTATTATTATTTTTTTGCCTCTTTTACCATTTTTCTGTTACTGACTTCCTTATTTAGTCTGGGACCAGTTTTCATGCCCCAATCATTTTTAAGGTTTTTCCCTTTTTTTTTTTGATTCTCAATAAAAGCTTGTCATTTTGTACTTCTCGTTTTTAGTACAGGAAAAAAAACGATTCACTTTCATTTTTTATTTTAGACCACAGTCAACAATGAAATATCAAACCTTCATTATGGCAAGGATTAGCTGAGTCAAAACAAAATTAACATTCACAAATACCATAATATTTGGGACAGGGGGCCCAAAACAGGGAGCTTTGGTCTCTCTATCATTGGCACTCATTTAGTAGCTTAAACTGAGGTCCTACTGCTGTTAGCCATGGACTCCTTATGTGTGGTAAAGGTCTTCACTCAGGTACCCAATGGGTTGTGGTGCTTTCTGTTTTGCTGGATTCAGCAACTTCTGGCTCATTATAGACTTTAATGTCTATAATACAAGAAATCTGTTTAAAAATCAAATTACCAATAATTATTATAAATATACTGAGACATACAGCTCTTATTCAATATAGTCTTAATTTTACTCGAAGAAAGAATCAGTTTAGTCCAACACATATCTCCTAAGAAGTTGGTAGCATTTTTACCGTGGGGCTTTTAGTGAAGCCCAATTAGTATGTCAATAAAAATAATCTGGATCAGTCACTGCAATTTTCTTATATAAACAAAATGTTTTCAATTAGCAGTGTGTGCTCATTTAATCATGATCAAGACTATTAAGGACTATAAAAACAGGAGTAAAAAGTAACAGAGTTTATTCCAGATCAGGTCGTTACAGGACAGAGAAAAATGCTTAGAGCTTGCACAGCTGTGGTCTCAAAAATCCCGTCCGCGAGCGTCCGGCAAAGTTTGAGCCCCCGAACAACATCATCTGCT